CCTATACATTATCCTAATGTCATTTTTACGCAAAATTTGTGATAAAGCTAAGTTGATAGTTAGTCTTGATATAAATCCTTAGATTCTTTTTTAAAAAAATTATTTTTCTTCTAATATTTTTCTAAATATTTTAGCTTATTATATATTTCCTGCTTTTCCTTGTTTTTTTTTCTAGAATTTTTCAAACCTTTCTTTTTCAAGTTCATCATTATGAGAAATGTCTAAATGATATTGGCAAGTCCTTCCTCACATATGAAAAATATCATATTTATCCTTTTCCTTCCCATCATAACCATCTAAAACTTCCGTAGATCCGTTCTCTCTATCTAAAAATCGAACTCTCCTCCGATTCCATTTATAGCCCTATATATACCTTCCTTCCAAAAATCTCCAGATCTCTATTCGCCAGCGATCTTGTGTGGGTGGCTTTTCTATATGTTCTATATATCTTTGAAATCTGATTGGCGCCTGCGCCGAAAGCTATAGCAAAACTTTTAGACTCTACGTGAGCATGTGTGTGTGTGTGTGTGAGTGTCTTGGATATTTTGCCAAGGTAAAAACACACACACAGGCACACACGAATTTATTTTTAAAATTCGTTGAAAAAAAAAAGAAAAAGATTAGAGAACTTTTCCTCTCAGATCATATAACACTTTGAGAATCGGCTGAATATATATATATGCATATAGACATATATATATTCCTGTCTGGCATTGTTGTTGCCTTTGTTGTTGTTGTTGCTGCTGCTGCTACTGCTGCTGCTGCGGTGGCTGATCCTGTTGTTGTAGTTGCTGTTGTATATTGTTGTTGGCGTCGCCAATGCCTGGGCGAATTTTTTCGAATTTATTTTTAGCCTTTAGCCATCAAAAAAAAAATGTTTAAAAAAAAAGATTTTTGAAAAAAAAAATTGGCTTAATAGTTCTTTTAATTTTTTTGTTTCGGCTTTCAAGTCATTTTATCACACTATTTGTTCGTTGATTGCACTTTAAAAAAATTTCAAAAAAAAATACATAGATGTTATATAACACTAAAGTTTTCCAATTCGTAACTTTATTATCGTTGATTTTCGGTTCTTGGTTCGTGGTTCGTTTCCCAAAGGATTTGGTTTTCTTTTTTGTTATAACTTTTGATTTTTTAGGCACACAATTTGATTGAATTTTTAATTTTCTTTTCTTTTTCTTTCTTTTTTTTTATTATTTTTTTTTTTTTTTGAAGATGATGCAGCAGTAGAAGGAGATGTGAAGCAGCAGTAGAGCAGAAACAGAAAAAAAAAAAACTTACTTAGGGAGAAAAACAAATTGAATTGAAGTCCGAGCAGCTGACGTCGTAGGAGCGAATGCTGCGGTTCGACTAAACAGACTGACGATGAAAAGCGCTGCTACACGTTATGTTAAAGAATTTTTCGTAGCGTTCGCGGAAAAGCCATTTTCACGCACACACCGATCACTTTTCTATATAGCATATAGCCCGTATGGGGTGCAAGAAGGCCAGCGATATATGCCACACATATCTCTGGCCCGATGTGTGGCAACAAGTGGGTGATGGTGGTGGTGGTGGTGGTGGTGGGTGTTGGATGTGTGCTGCTGGGTGATTTTCAGGTGGGCTGCAACTGAAACATAAACTTGTACACGCACACACTGTCATACTGAGTTTTTCCATTTCCAATTTTCCATTTTGGCCAGAGCGAGATGAGGCATACGATATGGTCGCACGCACATAACTAGATCATAAGTATATAGCCATATAGATATACAGAGAGATTTGGGTGCGTTGGCGGCTTTTTTACACATTTGTTTTTGGAATCAAATATCGTAGAACATAAATTTCACAGCCATTAAAAAGTCGGCCTGCATATATCCCTGGGTATGTATAAATATGTTCGTTCTAATATATATATATATATAGTTTAGATTCCTCAACGGATCGTTGCAGCATTTGAACCCCAAGAGTGCACGCCCTACAAACTCTCCTCCTCTGCCTTCATCCATATATTTTTATATAGATTTATATATGTATATTGGCCCCCATCTATATCTCGATCGGACTGCTGACGTCGAACGGCCTTAGGTGGCCCCATCGCATTGCCATTTGTCTAACACTTGAATCTATTCGTCATTGTTCCGATTTTCTTTTTTTATTTTGCACATTTTGCTTTGTTATTTTTTTGTTGTATTTTTATTTTCCTTTCTAACAGATACTTTCGCCAAATAGTTCTAAATACACTTACCCGCCTTGCAGCCCTTGGTTTTAGCTGTCGATTTCGATTTACTTTGCAAAGATGTGCCACTATCTCACTAAGCACTAGGTCAAATGAAAGCAATATGTTATATTTTCATTTTTTAGGCCCTGAAAGGAAGTGTGTATAATTCTGCATACAAGACTTAAAGGAAAGCCCAATGATTTTCACTTAATTAGATAGTTTTCCATAGTAAGTTGTCGAAGCTACTTCGTAAGAAGTATATCACTTCACAGTCTTCATTTATATATCTGTTTTTACTTCAAATAAAACCAATTCTTAGGAAGGAACGAAAAATTTATTGAAATTCGAAGGCATTCAAGAAACTATGGCAACTAAAGCAATTTTCCGGACTTACTAAAAAAGGTCTAAAAATGTTTATTAAGAAAACAAATGATCCAGGTTTTTTCTTAGATATATTATTTTTTTAAATTTAATTCCACAAAAAATATGCATCAAAAACCATGTTTATATGTACTCGTTTGAAACTTTGTAATAATTATTTTGAAAATGTCTAAAAATTTTGCAAAACCGCTTAATATTTTGTATAAATATTAGCATGTCATTTCAACAATGAAAAATATTTATATATATTAAATTGCCAAAATTTGTATAAATATTACAAGAACACGAATTTGTTTAATGTATATATGTTTATTAATTACGAATTGGATTAGAAAATACATTCTGGTCATGAAAATAAAACAATACTCGATGGAAAATGCAGTTTAATAATACGAGAACAAAAGTTTTATAACTTTTTAAAATGATTTAAATAATTAAAGAAATGAGTTAGACATAGCCCAATTTAATTGGTTTTTATCTCTATTTTGGATAAATGAATATCTTGAAATGAAATATCTTGAAATGAATCCTTAAAGTTTTCTAAGCCTATATTCCAAAATTCCAATAGCAGTTTATGAATCTATCATAAATTCTTGCAACTAACTTTTGGCATCTGAGGTTCTTAATATCTATATTAAGAACATTATAATATTATACAAAATAATTAGTATTAGGCAATTTATTATAATATGCATTTAATTCGCGCGTGCAGTAAAATTACTATGTAGTCCTAGGGTTTTGGCTTTTGTTTTGATTTCGTTTTTGGTTACCAAGTGTCTTAAATTTAGAACATTTTTGTATCTGCACCTATGCGAAATGCACACAACAGATATATATTATATATATATATATAAAGTTAGTCCGGTACGGTCTAGGTATTATGCATGGCTTGCCAAAAACTACAAAACTACAGAATCGCATTGGGACACAGGTGGGCAGGTCGAATTATCTGGGATTCAGTGCATGAGATGATCCCTGAAGTGTACAGATCTGTCCAGATAAATATATATCTGACATCTGTAAACGGTTTCTTGATTTTGTTGGCCTGCCTCTCTAGTTGCCATCTGGCTGGATTCACATAACATCTTCCGTTCAATAAACAACTATGATCTTATTGCAAACATCGGGCAAGCAAATAGTTTTCAGTAATCCGTACGGAATAAGTACGGGGCATGTGGAGATGTGGGCGTGAACAGTGGGTTTTTGGGATATGCCTTCACTAAAATTTTCAATTCGCATCATCTTCTGAAAACTCAGAATATCAGAGAATTCAAAAAAAAATCAGGGAATAACAAATAGCACAGTTTCGAATTTTTGTTGTTCTATTTTTGGACATTTTGTGTGGGCGCTATCGTCTGTAGCCTTCGGTTTTTAGTGCCGATCGCATGCACGAAGCTCCCCGATATAAATATATATATATATATATACCAAAGTATGTGAGTATATGTATTTGTTTAAATATCTTCTATATGTCTATCTATAGGTTAGCTTTCTGGGGCGATGTTTACGGGCAAACTGTGGATAATATCTGCATAGATCAGGAATAACATAAACATTATCCAAGATCTGGAAAAATATTTGATTACAGATAAGTGAACGCAAAGATTTAATTAATTGAATATCCGTCAATCGACTGGGAAAATTCGAAATTGGACAATTCAAGAGCAGACTTAAGTGGGAAATAGAAATTAGCTTTTCGTAAAATGCATTTTACCTAGCGAATTCTTTTAAAGACAATTTATGTTTCCAATACCATAAATAAAAAAGGTTCCTATTAGTAATATTAAGAATATATCTGCTATAATTAACGTTCAACAATTTCACTTCGAAATTATAATATATAGATTAGGCTGCCTGCAATATTTCATTAAGTTTTCATTGAATAAGATTCTCTCGGATCAGGTCAGGCAAACATATTTTGTAAAGAACAAACAACCTAATGTGTGCCAATTTTAGAATCTATATGTTTGGATGTTCGATTTAAAAATACGTTCTAACTAAATTAAATGAAATGAAAACGAATCAAAAAAAAAAAACTAAAAAAGAAAAACAACGGAAAAATCCATAAGAAAAAAACACATAGAAGAAACCCCGAAAAGAAAACAGCGGAAAATATAAAAACGTTTAAGAAAAGCCATCATACACAGACGGTCTATATAGTACCGAATGCTCTGTCTACTATATGTATAATATTACACGTTTATTTTCAGAATGTGTTTTTGACTAATTTTTTTTTTTTTTTGCTTGTTGACACTTGGAAATGTATATTGAAAATTACTTTTAGTATTCAAGCTGGCATAATCGTTTTGTTTAGCTGGAGCCTTAAGAACATTTTCGAAATTAAACAACAGCATTGGGAAGAAAAACTGGTAAGTACTATTTTTGTTGCTTTGAAATAATAAATTCCTATAAAATATATACAACAATTTGTCTTTCTTCGAGTTTTTGTATTATTTTACTAAAAAATTCTATCCATTATTATAACTAGTTTGTTCTAAGTTACATTTATATATATACAATTCTAATTATAACGCTGCCATCAGCTGTATAAATATCTATAAGTTCATAAGGCTTGCATCTGTAAACAGTTGCTTAATGACATTCATGCTTTCTATTTATTTAAACTTTATTTTTGGAGAGTTATTTGAAATTCAAATGTCCCCGTTAGTAATCGTACTTGTTCTAATCGATAATGGCCTTGCTCAAATCGAGCCTATCGATAACCGGCGAATGCACATCTAATTGGAGTAAAACATAACGCCTCCTCATATCGATACAAGACCACAAAAAAAAACAAATAAAATAAAAACAAATTCGCTAAAAAATATTGTAAAGAAAGAAACAAGATAACAATAAACAATTAATTGTGAAAAAACGTTTTAAGTGGTCAGAACAAAAAAAAAACAACAATTGCGTGGCGTGTTTGCACGAGTGCGAGCGAGAGGGCCGAATGCGGTAGTGGGAAATTCAATCAGATTTATTTTTTGCAAGCAAAAAACTTTTTTTGGAGTACACCGCGTGCTCCTTAAGGCAAGTAACAGCAGCAGCAACGATGGCCAACGAGCCAGAGAACAAGCCGCCCATTCTACACATTCTAGTAGTGGGGTTCCACCACAAACTGGGCTGTCAGGTGGAGTTCTCCCATCCACCGCTGATTTCGGGCTCAACAGGACGCAACGAGTGTCCCTCTGGCTGGAAATACCTGCCCACACTGGCTTTGCCTGATGGTTCCCATAAATTTGCAGAGGACACTGTGTTCTTCAACCTGCCCAGTTTGTATGAGCCTGCTGCCAGCATTTATGGAGTGTCCTGCTATCGTCAGATACGCGTGGAAAAGCTAAAGATTCGAACGGCGGATCTTACACGAAGCACTGTTCAAAAGTCTGTCTGCATTCTGGCCCGCCTGCCCATCTATGGGTATATAGAAGTCAAGCTAGCCCTGATTGCCGATGCCTTTTTCGATCAGGGCGACTTCTCTGGCACGGAATTGCTGGTCAACGCCTATCAGCAGCTAAATGCGTGCCTCCTGGACGACGAATCCCGTCGGCCACTGCGTCATTTCCATGTTGGATTGTCTTTGCGAGAGATAGTGCTCCACTGGCGCCACAAGTCGCTGATGCTCTTCAAACTCCTGCTCCTACAGCGACGAGTCGTGTGCTTCGGTTCACCAGTTCGCCAAATGTGCGTTCTGATCCTGGGTATGGCATCACTAGTGCCACGACTACTTGAAAAGGGCTTCCAAGAGGTGGCCTGTGTGCGCACTTCACGTCCGCTGTCTCCTATGCCTGATTTCACAGACTCCCTGCAACGCGAGGCTCAGGCGGAGGCGGAACTGGAGGCAGTTGCTGCTGGTGGACCTGTTCACGACGAGGAGCAGAAGCTAACGCCAGAAAGTGCAACTGCAGCGGAAGGTGAGGCAGAGGATCTGGCCCTTGTCTCGTCCGCAGCCTCTGCTGGCGAAGAGCAGACCAGCGGCGACGACACCTCACCGCGTTCCACACCGAATTCACAGTCGCAGGACTCATCGAACGGAAGAAACAGCTCCTTAACTAGAGAAGCCAGCGTGGATACACTGGCTTGTGAGTAACCCTCAAAGGGATAAGGATCCCAGTTTTAGAATTTCCAAAATATATTTGTTTAATTTACAAAGCGATTTATAAGATTTTGGCATAGGCAGGAGACTAATTACCCGATGTTCTTATAAAAGTTTTAAGTTTATAGTAAATATAATACAGTTCTATTTATTTTTCTATTAATCATACTATTCCTTATCATATATTATATATATGACTCATATTCATATAGATAAATATATACAAGAGGTCCGGCCCTTAAATTAATACATTTTTGAATAATTAAATATATAGTTTATATCTTATTAATATTCTTCCTTTATCCACAGCCAACCTTGCCGCCTTGTGTGCTGTAAATCCAGATGAGTATCGGGCACCGGTAAGCATCTTCGCTAGCGGCAATCTTTGCCTGCCGTATCTCTCGTTGCCGTATATGGACTTGCTTAGTGATCCCATGGTGCTCTCCTATGTCATCGGAACCTCTAACGTACTGTTCCAGCAGAAACGTCAGCTGGCTGACGTTCTGGTGGACATTGAGGCGGCTAACTTAGATGCCCACGATCCGGAATTGAGGCGTCAGCTTGTGTTAAGCACAGAGGACTTACGCTACATGGATTACATCATGAAGCACGTCCAATCACCCAAAGAGGATGCTGAGGGCAGCGAGTATTGGATCCGAGAACAGTTCCAGGGCTATGTTCTAGCCCTCTTGCGGACTGCTGTGGCTCCAGGTGAGTGTACTTTTTTCTTCATATTTGTTTTTAATAAAATAGAAATGTCTCAATCAAATATAGATGCCATGCCCAAGGACAACGATCATTTCAACGCGCATTTCATGGGCGCCTTCAAGCGCACTCAATGCTTCCAGGAGTGGTATGACGTGAGACCTGAACCGGAATTCTTTGACGCCCTGCCCGCTGGTCATCCCTTTGCAGGCACCTTATCCGTAGCAGACATGAAACTTAAGCTAGCACAGTTAGTACAAATCCGTTTTTATATAACTTCCCTTGCACTTACAGTCTCAAAACAAACTGGTTCTACTTTTCCATAGAACAATGCAGAATAGCGAGAGCGGGCGAAAGATCAATCAGGCTGTGAACACGACGAGCAGAGCGGTGGGTGGTGCCATTTCCCAGGCCAAAGGGGCCTTCTCCAGTTGGTGGTCGTCCATCACGACGGCACCACCAAATTCAAATGCTGCGCCAACGAGCAGCATTAATGGCCAAGAGGGTGATGCGAGCGAAGGACCTGCAGCCCAAGAGATCTCAGTTACATTCCAGAATCACAAGGACGTCGAGGATTTAGACATGGCGGGCGTCAGCATTCACCTGGCTGGCCAGGAAGAGGCACACGAATCACACGAGTCAAACAACGAAAACTGTGAACGACCACAGGGTATCGTTGAGATTGGCCGCGAGGCGGAGCTTTTAGACAAATCCGATCAACCGGAGGAGGCCAAGAGCTCGACAGCAACACAAGCTAGTCGGCCAGGATGTGGCGGTGATGTGGCCACCTCCGCCGTTGAGCGTAGCAGTGGCGATGTCTTCATTGTCTGAAGACGACAGCACATTTTGGGCATTGTATAAAATCGAACTAAGCTTAATGATAATTATTTATTACGCAACATATTGTCTCAGTCTCAATGTTGAATTTATAACTACTAATCGTATTCTCCTTTTTTTGTATACCCATATTCTAGAGTTACTTGACTTGTGGTACCGAAAATGATATAATCAGGAGACAATTTAATCAATATTTATTATTACAAAAAATGTATTTGGTCGAAAAACATAATGGGATTAAAGCATTCAAAGTAAATAATTAGTTTTTTTTAGTTGTATATATAAAGAAGTTCTGATTTATAAAACTTAATTTATAAATATTAACATATTTTCATTAAAATTATATGCACTCTATAATTTAAGTTGGATTTAAGACCTATTCCCGTGCCGTTTTTGTGCCACAAGTCAATCCTGCTCTAATCTACATAAAATTGGCCAAAAGATAATTTTATTTAATATTTATATATGCCTACTTCTAAGTTATCCTTGCCGTCTTCACACCCCACCACTCAGTGTATATGAATAACCATGTAAAGCTAAACCGTTCCAAGTGCAATTTGTAATCCAAAAAGGCAGCGGAGATCCGCAATATAAACCCTTAACTCGAGTGTCAACAAACAAGTGAGAGAAATTTGAAATTATATAGTGCTCGAGTCGAGAATTCCCTCCTTTGTCCAGGGTCCGCCGTGCCCAACTCAATTTACCTTATCCAAGTGTAATCCAAAATAAATGCATTTCATAAAATATTTAAATATTGCTTCTTTAATTGACAATTTAATATTGAAATATAGCTGTTTAAATTAACATACAATTAATTATTTAATTACACACAATTACACAAAACTACATACTGTATTCACAATTGATTATTTTAACTAAATCCATTTTATCTGGATGAAAACATAATATAAACAGAGCGAATAGAACAATTCTTTTAACGCTCTTTGATGGCCTCCAGGACTGGCTCAAAGGAGACCAGTTGGGAAGAGTATATCCTATGCTCGGCCTCGCCGAGCTTGACCTTGCTTGCGGCTAGTTTAGCCTCCAGCGCCTGCAGCTCCTTTTTCGCTTCGGCCACATTTGACTCACATTCGTCGAGACGAGCGTGTCGGGCTTTGTGATCCTGTTCCTGATACAGCTCGGCTGCGGTGATCAGATCTTCGTTTTTCTGCTCATTGGCTCTTAGCTGCTGCAGCGCCTCGTCTTTCCGCTTCTCCAGCTCGTCAAGGCGAGTGATCTGATCATATTGATTCTCTAGCAGCTGCTGCCGGTGCTGCACATTCATATCGCGCTTGGTGCGACAAATGGTCTCCATTTTGTTCAGGCGATGCTTCTGCGCCCGCAGGTGAGTCTCCAAGGTGGAAATTTCAGTATCCAATTTGATAGTCTCGCTTTTCATTTCAGCCACATGCTGTTCTAGCTTTTGACGCCGATCGATATTCTGCTGGCGCTGCTGTTGAAGAAGATTTCCTACCAGCTCCTGGCAATGGATCCGGTCTGCGATGTCCTTTGCACTAGGATTTAGCGGTAACGTTAGATCCATCTGTTGATCACCGTTACCCTTCATCAGACCGCGAATTACCCAGTTCATGCTGAGATGGCGAACATGCGAGTTAAAGACCTCAACGCAATCTATTTGCTTTTGCTTAGCCCTCGACAGCATAACCTGCTGGTGAAGCTCTAGCTCAGAGATTTCCTTCACCTGGCGCTCATAGGCCTTGGAGTAGTTGTCCTTATCGTTGTATTTCCGTTGAAGCTCCTTTAGCTGCTGAGCAGAGTACTTCTGACTGTTCACCGACTTCTCCAGACGCTGTTCGTACTTCATTTTCTGGCGGATATTCGCCTGTTTTTCATCGGCCTCAGAGGAGAGTTGGTCAGACAGTTTATTTTGCTTGGTAAGCTCCTCCTGGATGGCAGACAGTTGTTCGGCTAGATGTGCCTGCTCCTTATTAAGCCGCTCAAGTTTTTCAATCTGATTATCACCGCTTGGATCCTGCAACTTATCATTCAGTTGCTGCAGCTTCGTTCTTAGATTGACGATTTCCTTCTCCAGCGCTTTTCTATCAGGCAAGTTACATTTTTTGCTGATGACCTGATCTCTGATTTCCGCATGCAGCTTGGCCTCTTCCTCGGTGAGTTCCTGATCCCATAGGGTAATGCATTTCGTGGCCTCAACGAAGAGCAAAGCGTTTACTTCCTCGTCCAGCTGAACGGTCTGCATTTGGGTGATTGACATTGTATCCGTTGGTTCGCAGTGCACGCTGTTCAGATACGAGCTGGTCTGCTCGGTGGTCTCCATGAAAGGAAATTCGTTCTCCGGCTCATCTGAGGTAGACAATGGCGGAGCAAAGTCCATGAGGAAATCCAGCAAGACGATCACATGGCCAAAAGAATGCTGTGTGGTCGGTGACACCAGCCAGGATTTGTTCACCTAAAAGTTATAAAATGGAACAATTAAGATAAATAGACTATTGGGTCGCCATTCCTCTTCACCTGATAAGGATATTGCAACTTCTGCATGGCATTCGTGATGTCCTCGACGTGGTTTTGTCCCACAGTAAGCTTGTTTCGCCAGATTTGGTGGAATAGAAAATTCAGAATTGACACGAATTGCTTCATGGTCATGTTTCGTAGCCCACCGGATCGGCTAACGAGATCCGCTGTAAAACTCGACAGCGGCTCATTAGGCTGAACATTATGTAGATATTCCAGTATCTGCTGGGCTCGCTCAGCAACCCATTTTTTGTCCGAATTAGGGGCAACCGGTCGTTCTGCGGTTGTGGGCACAAATCGGTGGCCTCGCTTCGGAGTCACTCCCATTTGACTTGCCCGATCCCGCTCCAGGTTCAGTGGCTGTGGCAGTCTTGACGCGGAAGGTCTGAAGAGGATTGAGATCATGCAATATTGGGTATATATTAGAATGTCATATGGTTCTACCTACCTTCTGGGGACCGCCTGACTGGAGGAAGGAGTGTGATTTGCTACACTGCGCTTAGTCGCCCTAGTTGAAAGATAATCGTTAACTCCATATTCATTGGGATACCGGGACACATACCTGGTCATACGCTTTTCTGCGACTTCTCGTTCTTCGAGCACATCGCCACGGAACTCACTGGTTCGCCGTGGCATCCGGTGCGACATCCTGGAAAATATTTACTTCCCCCCACAAAGTAAATATTTATTTAGCCCGATGGAAGAAATCGCGCGTCGTTTTACTTTAAATTCCCTGGATGCGTCTGTTATCGGCAAGCCGATAAATTCTAGAGATGGGTTTTTAACAGTTCGATGGTTTTTATTCGAATTTAAGCCCAACTAATTTCCTTTGCCAACAAAGTCTCCAAAGTAAATTCACCATCTGGCAACACTTTTAAACTAAAGGCGCAATTTGCTTAAATATTCTGGTTAGATCATGCCACCGAAACGGACAAAAAAAGTATCAGTAAGATGCAAATATAGGGTTTTTTATGAGTTTTAAAGATTTATAAATTGTTTTTTAGGCACCAGCCGCACAGGATGAAGTAGCTGAAGACTTGGATCCAAACGAACCAGTGCTCTTCGTAGAGCACTGCCGATCCTGACGAGTCTTTCGTCGCCGAGCGGAGGATCTGCACTCCGCCCTCCGGGACCGTGGTCTCCGACAACTTCAGCTTCGGCTGAATCCATCTGGAGCACCACGGCGAGGTGCTTTTGAGTTGAGTTTAAACGCAGGAATGGGAAAGCAGGAGCATTTGCCGCTTTGGTCGGGTCTGAAGCGAGGGCCACCACGTGCTCTCAAATTTCCCACTGTGGAGGAGATACACGATAAGATCATGGGAATTTTGGGCGTCGAGCAGAAGTCCGAGGATCTACCCAAGGAACAGGAGCTATCTAAAGAAAATTTAGAAGAGATTAAAACCTCTGAGTCACAAAAGAATCTGGAATCTAAGGACCTGCCCGTAGACAAGCCACCGAAAGTTGATTCACAAAAGAAATCCGAGGAAAAGCCACTTAAATCTAAAAAAGAGTTGGCCAAAACGAAGAGGCAGACCAAATCCCAGAACAACCCGACAAAGACAGCGAAATCCCAAGATGAAATCGATGAGGAGCTGCCCCAAAGCAGTCAGAAGAGAAAGCGCCTCACCACCAGATCCTCCACAGACGAATCTGTAAGCGCTTCCAAGCGCAAAAAGTAGTTATTCCCAAAAAGAAGATCATTCAGCAATAGAGCCTTATGATCGATGATTGGCAAATCCTCTCGAGGAACCAATCGTTGAGAACACCTTCCGCCTTTGCTGAATGGATTTTTCTTTTTCAAATAACTACAAGGAAAACACTCATGCACATTTGTTATTACAAAATATATTAAAACATCTTAGAAACCTATTTCCATTTTTTTTTTGCCTTCTCTTGTGGTTTTTGTTTTGTCTAATTTTTGCCTCTCATTTAGTAAAATTTTGTGGACTTTGATTCTTCCAAAAATGTACATAATTTTTTATATATTTTTTTTTTTTTTTTTAAATCTTTTTTCTTAGTTTTGTTAAAATTTGTTTTCGTTTTCAGCTCAGCTTAAGAATTATGATCCTAAAGAAAAAATTTTGGTTTTACGAAATTGTTTTTTAGCTTCTTCTATATGCTAGAGATACCCTACCACTTGCCTAAATAGATTACAATTTGAATTGTCTCCTTTTAACTAAAATTTTGGTTAATTAAAAAAATTGAATATAATAAGTGGGGCTGGAGGTGGGGATAGATAAAGTAGTTTTAATAGAACATGTAGCAACAGAAACCGAGGGAGATTGCGATTAGGTGGAGAGCCAGTCCAAAAAGGTGGGCTAGCTTTAAGTAGAGTCGCTAATATAATTCATGTAAATATATATAATGCCTGTACACTCATATATATATATAATGTACAAATATAATGTCATAGCCTGGTGAACTTCTCAAAAGGAAACTTTGGAAACTACGGTCTGTACAATTTTGTAAGATCGCACTAGGTATTCAATCTTTTCAGATACGATGGCGTTGCATACATTTTCCACCTTCTTTTGGCACAGATTCTTTCCAAAAATAGTTCATTAAATATTACCTAAAAGTTTCAGAAACTAGCATTGATTAATTGGTATAATTGTTTTTTGATTGCCTAAAGGTTTTATAAACATGCAACTATACTTTTTTTTAGATCTCTGGCTACCTTTCAAATCGTTTCAGTTTCTGATCAAGTTTCATTGTAGAGAAGTTCACCAGTCTACTGGTAGTTCAAAAACAACAATCAATTGGCTATGGGAACGTAAAGTTAAAAGAGGCGAAACATTGGAATTGTATTGGCTACGGCCTGGTGCGTGGTTCTAATCGTGATCCTGATCCTAATCCTGTTTCTGTTCCTGGTCCACAATGTATTTGATTCTTTTCCTTCTCCTTTTTTCCGGGGGAGGGAGCAACAGTGGTCAAACTAAGGCTTACAAAACTACCTTTAAATTAGGTGCGAAAAGTATATCGATCGATAGGCGAGAAAACAATGCGAAAACAGGGGATTGATTGATTACACGACGAATTAGTTGTTGAAAGAGTTGTTACAGATACTTCCGATAGTTGCGCAGATGGGCGTTCGCGTCCTCGACTACGCCAACAGCAGCAGCGGCACTCTCGAAGGATGGTGGTTCAATGACCATGCCGGGACTGGTTGGATCGCATGCCGCTCCAACGGCGCTACTTGGTCCCTTGGCTCGTCGTCTGCCTCGTGTTCCCGCTCCCCGGGATCGTCGGCTATTAGCAGAAGCTCCAGATGCTCCGCCTCCACCACCGGATCCAGAACCTCCTGTCAAACCTGCTCCCAAACTATTGCTGAGGATGCCACCGCTTGACATGGGTCCTCCATTACTGCCTGGAACACTCTCACCGGATTCTATGGCCTCCAGAGAGGCGTCCAGCGCCGCATCTGTTGTAGTGATACGCGACCTGGCTGCTGCACTGCGTCTTCTTGAGCTGGAGCTTCCTCCAGAATTGCCACCTCCACCAGTGCCTCCTCCTCCACCACCGGCACCAGAGTCTCCACCTCTCTTACCGGGACGCTTCTTACGCCTCTTCTTGTTTCCGTAACGTGGATCATAATCGTACTCATCGTCTGCCGGCGACTTTGGCTCCTCCAGCGAGTCCACATCGTTCATGTCCATGTCATCGTAAAACCACTCCTTGGGCAACTGCTCCTCCTTAGTGGCATGCTGTTGCTGGTGTTGTTGTTGCTGATGCTGCTGCTGTTGGCTGTCTTTGCTGTCAGATGTATCACCGCCCGCGGCACCCAGTGAGCTAGACTCCTCCAGGCTGAAGGCCCCATTGAAATCGTGGGCAGTGTCATTGTGCAGGGAACCCAAAACGGCAGGTGCTGCTCCGCCTCCTGTAAGCATGTTGAGCGTCAGAGAGGAGTTGCTGGCTAGGCTATTGTTGCCAGGTATGGATCCCACACCGCTGTTCAGGCTGCTCAATCCCAGATTCACCCCGCTGGCCACCAGAGCCTCGTGCTCTTTTCGTAGCGCCTGAAAAGGACGCTCCGGAAAGCGGCTGTAGGAGTGGAAAGATTGACATTAGAAGAAGTAATCATAAATTTCGCGGAACAGATAATAACAATGGTAAAAACTAGAATATTTTTACATTGGAGTGTTTAAGGCTCCATAACAAGAAATCGTTCAAAAAAAGTTAATTTTTATTTAATTTCAATCGTTATCTATAGCGGATCTCCTCGACTGAAAGTGTTTTTTTTTAGGATTAGGTAATCCTGAAATATACAGCAAATGGCTTTTGTTTTTATTCTTAGAACTTCGTTGACACGTCAGTTAAAGATCGTTAATGAACATAGCCGAGGTTCCCAATCAGATCCAAAAGATAAATACAGATTTGGGTATAACGACAGTGGAACATTGATTCCAAGCTGGACTACCAACATTTCCACTTGAGTTTCCAAAGTAATCCTCACCTGTACATCTTGCTCAAGTATTGACGACGACTCTTTCGCCACCTGGCTGCCGGATAGGTGTAGATCTGGCCCTGTCGAAAGCCGGGCATCCTTTGGCGCTTGTCCAGAAAGAGCTGGGAGTGATTCTGGGCGACGCCCGTCTGCGGATCGAGGAAGGGCAGTCGGAGACGGCGCTCGATGCACAGTCGCGTGTTGAAGTTGGCGCTGTACTCGATCGTCTCCCGATAGCTGACATCCTTCAGGAAGCTCTCGATCTTTGCCAGATTCGGCATTGAGACGATCTGAATGTTCACGGCGGACGACATGGTTGTTCTAGAACCAGATCTTGATCCTTATCCTGAATCCCTCTGTTGACTAACCTCGGAAGCCTGCTGTACCGCTAGTCCATCCCAGAGTCTTGGCAGTTTCCGCTTGCTCCGTTTTTCTTATCTCAATTTTTTCCAGTGTGTTGTATTCCGTTTCTTATCGCTTTTCGCTGCCTGTTTTTTTTACCTCCTCGTTTTCTGCCTCTCCTCATACACACACACACGCGCGGCGAGCTCTCTATAGTTATGACCCCTTGCCAAGAGGCGTGGCGGTGTGGGCGGCTGTGGACTTAACGGGAGCGGTGCGGTCACTAAGCGATCCTCGGCTAAGTTTTCCTATTGCTTAATTGATCAGAAATAATGTTAACGTCGATTTTACTGCTGCGCTGCTAGAGCTGAACACACTTCGATAGAACTATCGAGCACATCTTAATCGGTTGGTTTCAATCATCGATACCTTTTGAAATCATCGATTTTGTGGCAAACGGTCATACTCGGTAAATAATAGAGATTGGCGATTAACGATAGTCGTACCTGTTAATCCTAAAAATTTTAAATCTGAAATAGTAGTCTAGACGTATTCAAAGCCACCAACCAGGTTTTATGTAATTCTCTATTATTTAACGACGGTAGATTGGGTGCTTACATTTAATTGTATTTAAAAATGGTAGATCGAGGGTTACATTTAAGTGTATTCAAAAAGGATGGATGGATGCTTACATTTAAACGTATTTAAAAAGCTGGACAAATATATAAAAAATCTTGGACTTACCTAAAATATCTTCAAAAAAATTTAACATTATTACATAACTTCAAAAAAACTATCCCCTTACTTCTAGGCTCTCAAATTTCCTGTTGAACCCAAAATAAAAAATAAAAATATAATGTAATAAAATATATCGAGCCGGGCAGCAGAATGTTTAGCCGATTTACCGTCAGCTGGCAACGCCTAAAAAACAAAATAAAAATATATAAATAAGTAAAACCAAACAACAGAACCCTAATCATAGAAATTAATGAAAGTACCTTGTTTGTTTGCGATTATAGAATATTTTTGGGGTCGTAAATATATGACAAATAGAGGCACGGATCATAGTAAACACCCCATTAACCACTATACCATTTAGATTAGCTTTGTTCATAAACAACGGATAAGACTGTATATCAGCTGTAGGTTAATTTAGTGATAAAAGCCACCTAGAGCTTTACCCACAAACCAATAACAAAAACACAAAGAGAATACTGCCATTTTGATACCGAACACCCCACTGAGATTAAAGCCCATTTTTTGGACCCGTTCACAGTTGCTCGTCGACCTTTAAGCAATCCACATCGTTCAATTCAGCTTTTGTAATCGGATCTGCATACATATATAGCTATATTGTCGGATATATAGGATGTGCGTGATATTCTTTTGTGCGGACTCAAATCCGCCAGTCGGTGGCTACAAGTTGATTCTAGCCTCCAATCGAGATGAGTTCTTTGCCCGAGCCACACAGTCGGCGGCCAAGTGGGCAAATGCCGAACATGTTTACGGAGGTAAGATTATACCTAAAACATATATCAGAAGTTTTAATTTAAAGATATATTTCAAATTAAAAAAATCCTATGTGTGTGAAGGTGATGCTAAATTATCTTGGAACTCTTATTCCTTAAACGATTGAGTATATAACCGAGTTGTTCAAAAACGTACTTTTTTTTAAATTTGTAATTTCATTTTATATATATATATTATTTCGATAAATGTTATATACATGTTTTAATATCTATATTTCAATCGCAGGAATAGATTTGGAGCCGGGACGCGAGGGTGGAACTTGGCTGGCGATCGGTCATTCCGCTGGCTTCTTTAAGGTGGGCGCCCTGCTCAACCTGACCGGCGAACCCAAGCCTCGCGATGCAGTTGGTAAAAGCATTTAAGCCATATACTAATCAAAATTAACACACACATACGCCCACCATCCCATCCATTTGGCACAAACTAAAACTTTCACAAATGCGACAAAAGAAAAAAAAACAACTTTCTTCGTTTCTGTTTTCTGTTTGAAGCGCACAAGAACATTTTGCAACCGCATAATCAAAATAGCAACAGCACCGGCATTAACCTTTGCCCCAAGCCAACCTCCTCCAACAACAACAGTCATCCGAATCTGAACTCGAATCCAAGTAAGGGGCAATCGAATAACGAACATTTCTTACTAGGGCGCGGCATGATCGTAGCGGACTTTGTTACCCAGACGGACGATCAGCACAGCATCCTTAACTACAACCAGAGCCTGCTCAAGGACTGCACCAAATACAGTGCCTTCAACTTTGTGTCTATCGAGATTGGGTGAGTCGCAGATATTCATCTATTTTAATCTTATATGTATATTCTTAGCCGACTTATTAAAGAATGCTAACTGCATTTGTTCTTCTTTCATAGATCACCATCCCTCCCCGCCCTAGTGAAGCTGCTTAGCAATGTTCCACCTACGTTAGAGGAGTTCAAAAACGGTCAGTCCTACGGATTTGGCAACAGCCTCCCCCACACGCCTTTCGAGAAAGTGCGCCATGGCCAACAGGAGTTTGAGGCAATCGTGAAGGAGCATGGTGAATCGAATGTAGAGACCCTGTCCTCCCATCTAATGCAGTTGCTCAGAAATAAGCATAAATTCTGGCCGGATGCGGAATTAAAGAGGCGGGCGCCCAACTGGGGCGAGGGCTTGAGTGCTCTGAATGTTCACATCGGTGATCATGCATATGGCAGTCGGACACACACTGTAATCCTGGTGGATAGTCAGAATAAAATGCACTTCATTGAGGAAACAATGGCAGGATTGGATCCCCAAGGCGAGTGGAATAAAACGCACATTGAAAAGGACTTTCAAAACATCGTTTGACTACGTTTAACTAAACTAATGTTTGTGCTTTAAGCAACTAACTGGCTGATATATCAGGAATTTGTGTATTTGTTTCCTTCTTGTGTTCCATTAATCTGTATTATGACACTGGCATTTACTTACCATAATAAATAGTCTTAGACATTTTACTATATAAATGAATTGGGTTTCTTAGAAAAAGGTCTTTAAAACTGTAATTTTTCATATAACATATAATTTTTTTTGTTATTTTGCTTTGAAAATTCTTTATTCATAGTCCTTGAAGTTCAACAACTAAAAAAACTGTTTTCATTTAATACATGACTATTATTTTCTTTAAGTTTATCTCGTGTCATTTACAACGTCTCCGTATGCATAGATATTTAATAATATTTATATATTTAAGCAAGGTAACAGGGGAAATAACCATCAACGTCTAAGCTTGCTTATCAGCCGTCCGCACTATGCCAGTGTTATCATATATATATCTATATCTCTATAACTTTATGATCCAGTTAGTTAGTGGCTTTAGTTCCACCCTATTTGTATTTCTTCGAAACCCGGCCGCTGCCACCTCCACCTCCTCCTGTTTCACCTCCACCAGCGCCTCGCAAAACACTCTTGAATTTCCGTGAGTTCATTGAACGTTTTCTGCGTGCGAAAGAGATAGTAGATTAGATAGGGACGGGTATACAAAGATCTAGGAAATATAGTTAAATATAATTTAGATACCCACCTCTTGTTGAGGTTATTCCTTGTAAGTGGTATATACGCATATGGATCAAGTTGTCCTCGTTTCTTCATATCGCCCTTGGCCTTTTTGCTGCTGTATTCTGTGCCAGCTGGTCGGCTGGTAGACTTTCCGGATTTAACGGACATAGCATCCGAGTTTCCAGCTGCCAGTTGTCGATGGATGCCCTTGCCACCAGCTGTGTAGCGACTGCTGGCGCTTGTTTTTCCAGATTTCATACTCATCGCATCGCCACCCTTGCGTGTCCTCTTAGCACCCGTCGATTGTTTCTGCTGTAGTTCATCCTCATCACTGGAATCATCTTCCATGCCGCGCTTGGCCTTTGGCTCCTTGGCTACAGTGCCATCAGCCATCGATGCATCGGAATCGGAGTCAGATTCGGAATCATCGTCTCCACCTTGACCACGAAGTGCCTTGTCACTGATGATCAGGCGTCCATCGTCGGCAGTCTTGAATCCTCCATTCGGCAGCTGCTTTTTCGCCTTCAGGCTCTTGACAGTGGCTTCCGTTTGAGCGGAGCCACTAGCTGAAATTGGACAATAGAAATCGTTACAAATAGTGTTCCTATGTCACTTTTGAATGTCATAACTTACTCAGCACATTGCCAATGGACTTGAGATCGGCCAAATCGACAATCTCATCGGGATCCTCGCGAATGTAAGTGCTCTTCTGCTGCTTGGTTTTCTTGCTTCGCTTTCCAGCAGCGTTTCCTGCTCCGCCCTCTTCCTCGGCATCCATATCCTCAGGCAAATCCGAATCAGAATCAGCCAGAATATCATCAATGCTGTGGATAAGAATTGTGAAATTTACGGAATAAATTCCTTAGACGGCATCACTTACGTATAGCTCTTCTGCTCTAGTCCGCCGATGAGCTCCTCATCGGAGCTATCGGCCTGGGCCTCCTCACTTTGCTTCTTACGCGTATCCCTGCGCATCTGCTTGCGGATCTTCTTGAGCCGCCGGTGGGTAACCTCATCATCGCCGGGAACAAAGCGAGCCAGCTCCTCAGTGCTAAAACGTTTACAGAGCTTCTTTAGGAAGTAACCGATCTGGATACGACAGTATCGCTTAGTGTCCTTGGCCATAGCAGACAAGGAACGCATCTAAAAAGAGGTTAATAAATTAATTAAATGTAAACTTTAAGACCAGGGGTGATTGCTTACAATAGTCTCCAGGTGATTAGCCACGAGCGCTATTGGCATCACTTTGATGAACGTAATCAGAAAGGCAACGGCTGCCTCCGATTGATTCCGGGACTTCTGAACGAGGAAGACTGACACCTGTTGCAGGACGAACTCCAGCGTGGCCACCGTCAAATGTTGACCCTGCTGCTGCAGCACAGCCCTAAAGGCCAAAATCGTGTTTGTCACCAGCGATTCATCACCGGCAAATCCAGCTGTTAGAATATCAACAAATTCGTTGATCTTGCCGGCATCTTGGTAGAGTTGCGTGATAGATTTGATTATCTGCTCGGCCACCTGCTCCTTGCGTGTAGAGAACTCCTTATAGTTGAGTACAGCCTCGGGAATAGCCTTCATTACTATTTGATCGTTATATGACAGATTGCTGCGGCAGTCCATCAGAGATTTCAGGCAGCTGAAGTGGGGAAACAGAATGGTTAAGCAACTACTCATTTCCTTAAACTTGTAAACTTACTACAAACGCGATGCCTGGCAAACGCTACAGCTAGTGGTGAATGCTTCGAGAAGGATTTGCTGCAGAGCGATGCTGTTCTTGCGGGTGAACTTCTGACACGATGCCTGTTCCGAGGTCATCAGTTCCCTAAGGAGTCTATAAAACAGGTTCACAATTAGATAAACTCCATTGTAGCTTAAACCTGCACTTACTCGTAGGTCTTCCTCTGCTGCTTCTTCAATTTTTGCTCATCCTTGCTGACCAATTTTGATTTATCGTTTCTCAGAATAGGTGCCATGTACTTCTCGAAATATGCTTCGATTCCCTTGCACTTTTGGACGCGCACAATAGCAGCATTAATATCAAACAGAGCATCGTATTCAAAACTGGCTACAGCACTGGCAGCCAATTGCCCTTGAGCGTTCTCGAATAGCTGCAATTGGACATCGGCGGGTGTCCTTGAGATATACAAACGGATGACATCCAGGACACGCTTCCGCTGATCGGCCTCGTAAGTCCCACTTGGCTTTTGTGTATAAATATTAAATAAACGCGGAAGAAAGTTTTTGGAATACAGGCCAATTGCCTGATGGCATTCTGCGCTCTGATTGTCGCTAAGCAGCTCCATTAAACCATCGTAAATGGGCGCCCTAAACTCCGGATTATTTTCCAGGGCGCCACCCAAAGTAGGAGCAAGGTGTCGGAAGTAATCCGGATCCCTTGGCTGACGGCAGAAGCCTGGGAACAAGCCCCACAATTGACAGGATAACAGTTCGTAGATGTGAGCCGAAGACTTATTCTTGGCTTCTGTGAACTCCCTACACTTTTGTTGGCATCCTATGACCAGTTGGACAATCTTCTCCTTAAAGAACTGCAGACTAGCTCCATTGGCACCCTCGCGAAGTAGAGGCAGAAGCCAAGAACGCTCCAGTTGCATATCGCCAGTGTTATTTGCAAGGGGTATCGCTGTAATAATCAGTTCCGGTCCCAAAGCCTTGATGGCACTGATTAGAGTATGCTCGATCTGCAGACGATAGGTGCTCTGACTGTCATACCGCTTGGAGATTGTCACCAGGGAGGGTGTGAGTTCAGAACTAAAAGCAGGATAAGACGAATATACAGGTTAGTCTTGATATTTTGCCATAACTATTAGATATTATATTATTTCAGACTCACCCAAATTGCTTTCCACAGGACTCAAACACAATGGAGAAGATCAAGATCACGTACTTCGAGATCTCTCCGAAGGGCGTATTCAACGCCTTGTGAAGCGAACCGATAATCCTGGCAACACTCGCCCTGTTTCGCTGTGCATCTTCCTCTGTGGCACATGCCTGTGCCACACAATCCTGCAGCAGTTCCTTGATGCAATTCGAGACACCCACAACCAGCTCTGTCCGGTCCGAGAGCCAAAGATCCGTAGTGCAGACATCGACTAGACGGGGCAAGGCCTGCATACAAAGATCCAGCTGTAGGCTGGCCAAATGGAGATGACCCTGCTTGAGGACCGTCACCCAAGCCAGCGTCTGGCGGACATCGCTCCTATCCGGTCGATATTCGTGAATCGCTGCCAGTAGTTTAGCGCACAAAGTGGCATTCAAATTGGGGCTCCTCGTCAGGAAGAGGGCATGCAACGCCTCGAAACAATTAGTCCTCACTAGCACATTGGCCGCCGTCATAATGGATAGCAGGTGCTCGCAAACACTTCGTATGTCCTCTGTTCGGAAACCTGATAGTGTATCTTTAAGAAGCGCCAGCGTATGAAGCACCGTCGTCTGGGCATTAGCTAGCACCTCCGGCTTGAACTGAGCCAAACAGAATTTTGTCACGCGACTGCTAGCCGGATGGTACTTAACCTTTGACTGCTCCACAGTCTTCTTCTCCGTCGCATCCTCCTGATCCTCATCGGACTTGGTCGGCGGCAGCATAAAGCAGCTGCCGTGTATAATTGAGACCACCGCATGCTGCGCTGCCTTGCGAATCTTCGGCTTGGAGTGAATGCTAAATGCTAAAAGAGCATCGAAGTACTGGAACGTGGAACTATAAGTCCATGTCGCATAATCTTGGGCACGCAGAAGGACGGACAGGCAGCCGATAACCTGAAATTAACAAAGTGACAAGTAAGTATAAGGTACTTATTTTCTTAAGATGTATTATTTTAAGGACTATATTATTTTACTTTCTTTTTAACTGTACTTTATCCTTATTTATTTACTTACATATCGGATGACCGACTGGTTGGTGGCTTCCACAAATCGCTGGAGCAGTGTCTGCATAGTGGCAGCAGTCTGGGCGAATCTCTTTCTGAGAACTGGAGCTGGCACTGACTTGATGCCCATGGCGAGCAGTGCCACGCCGGCCACGATGTCCCGCTCCTCGGTGGCACCCTCAATTTGTTCCATGAGCAGCAGGAAGTACTCCGTTGACGACTCACCGCCACCATTCTCCCTAATTATTTCGGTTAGGGCGCTTAGAATGGCTAGCATCTCCTTGTGAAGATCGGACGATGCTCGAAAGCCTGTAAGTAGTTTACGGAAGCTTGTGTTGCTGCAGCTGCTGTAGTTGGAAGCGAAGGTTTGGAAGGTCTTGAAGGTGCCTGTGGGCGCTGTGTTTGACTCGGACATTCCATCATCATCGTCCAGCCTGAAACTCTTTAAACTACCGGCAACATCATTAACCGTTGTGGTTTCCTTGTTAAAAGCCTGTCGTTGCTCATGCTTGTGGACCGCCTCCATTGTCAAGCCGGTGGGCGTAGCAGCAGCTGAAAGGTATTGTGTTACAGGTGGTTCATTCAGGTGTCCAAGTCAACACTTACCCAAACTTAGATTCGGCTGAAAGAAACGCGACTTGGCCTTTAGACGGTGCTTCATCTGGTCGGGATTGGAGGTGGCCGACTGGCCCTTGCTCCACGTCTTCCCTTTGCCATGTCGCTTAAGTTTCGACCGGAATTTGCCCATGATCCACGCGAGAAATCCTCTAAAGAATGCACCCAAAACACGCAAATCGCAACACGTGCGAACTAGTGTGCCCGCCCGTTAGACCGTTCAAACGTACAATCGAAATCGATATCGATATCGGTCGGTGGTGAATTTGTGTTTAAGTTATTCACCACGAATTTAATTTAAAAATCATAACACGATACAATTATTACAAGATACAATATATACATATTTCATATGGGTTTAAGGCTATTTAATGAATTCAAATTGATTTAGATCTGTAGTAACTGCTCACCTAAGTTATCAACCATGGTTTGAAACTATTGTTATCGTAGAATTTAAAATTGGTTAAGAACTGTGCTAACTCTCAAGTTATCCACCATGGTTTATAAATATGGTTAGCCGTACACTTGTTATCGCTTATGTATTATCGACAACACGTCAAGCCGGTCTGGCAGCTCTGCGCAACAAGTTGGAAAAATAGAAGAAGACAAATAGAAACAGCGTCCGCAAATAGTGCGCAAAATAGTGTTTTTTTTTTGTTAACGTGCAACTCCGACATTATTAAACAAGTGTACCACTGAATGCAAGTGATAGTGCGATTGAAAAAACAATGCTAAACACTTGGCCACGCAACAAAAACAATTGAGCAAGGCACACACACACACACATGTGCTGGCACCCACTCGTGTAAGAGGAAAAGAGAAAGGGAGAATACGCGAGTGTGTGAGTGAGTGAGAGGCAAGAACTGTAACTGTAATATAATTGATAAAACAAAAAACGTCAGGAGCAGGAATCCAGTGCGAGCAAGACCCACACACACAGAGAGTGAAAGAGGAATAGGGAAACAGCGAAAGAGAGCTGAAAAGGAGGAGGAATTGTTGTTGCTAAAAATAGCAACAAATAGACAGGGCAAGAAGAAGAAGACGGCGAATATAAAGAAGAAGCAGAAGCGTTGACGCAGGCAAAAGTCGCAGCCTTTTTGGCCACTTGGACTCTCAATTTGTCCCGTTAGTCAGCTAACGCTCTCTCGCCCAACGACAGCAACATCGATAATAACATTAAAAACCAAACAAATAACAATAATAACAACAAAAACGACGACGACGGACCAAAACTATGCTTTTGAAATTCACAAAAAACGGCGCTGGACCCTCGTCCGTACCGCTACTGCCCCCCAACCCCTCGCCGGGCACCAGTTCACCGTCCATGCAGGGAACAACAACATACGCTGCTCGCGGAACAGGTTTGTACCTCTTCTCTTAATCTCTTTTACCCTCCTTGCGCCCCACCAACAACTGTTTTCATTTCTTTCAGCCTCTCTTTGCTCTTATTTACTTGTTTTGTTTTTGTTTTGATTTGTTACCTTTAAGTACGGCAAGTAGTTTAAAATACACCTTGCCCACTTTTTCAATCGAATTTCGATTGGGATATTCACATTTTTGTATCGCAAGAAACAAGTTTTAGACTTAAGCCATACTTTACAAACTTTTTATTGATCATGACAAACATTCTATTGATCATATTCCTATATGTTTATATACCAATTTCTTTAAATCATAAGTTCCGAACACGAAATCCTGATGTTTTTCAAAAGAATATTGCAGTTACAAAAAAGTGCATTCTACTTGTTATTAAATTTAATTAAACAAACCACTGGATAAATATACTCACTTATATTTGTACTTTTCTAATCAAAATATTAAAAATAACTGCTTTTATTGGCCTTGAAAATGTGCTACGCATTTCTTTTAGCTCTTTTTGAACCTGTTTTTGTTTACTTGCTAAAAAAAATGTATAGTGGTGTACATTAGATAAGGGCTTTTCTATAACAAATGATTTTAAAAATTCATATGAAGCAAAAAATAGGGGATGTAGTGATTATAACTAATTAAACTTCGAAATAATCTTTCTTATTAGCCAATTTGTGGTATTTAAAAGATGCTTAGGCAGTTGAATTCCTGATAGTTTTTTTTTTTTTCATTTTTGTATCTTTCTTACTTTCTGGTAGGCTTTTGCCGTAAATAGATGGCAAACGAAAATAGATTGCCCAAAGGTGTACACATATTTTTGGGTAAAAATATTGCGCCCCCTAGAAATAATTCTTGATTGATTTCCAACACTCCCCTACAGACCGCCCACAGTCCACCACCCACTCTCTTAATAATGTTGCTATCGATATCAGCAAAAGTTGACAAAAACAAAAACAACAACAAGAAAGAAAAACACTATTTGGCCCCCACAAACTTTGCGACATTGAAAGCCACGCACGTGTACCAACACACACGCGTATTTATGTTAACACACATACACACACACAAACACCCGTAATTATGTATGTTTACATGGGCGAGTACAGAGAGACCTTAATACATGGAACTTCGAATGGAAATTGGTTTCAGAAAAGATTGTAAAGAAAATTTCCCTATAGTTCCTAATATTAGTTCTTTAAAGAATAGGGTAAGACCCATGTGATTCATAAAAGACAACGTTTCTCACAAAGAGGGATATTAAATCTCTTAATTCAGATTGTACTAACTTCAAGTTTTACTTTTCGTATAACCACTGTAACTTTACATGTGCTCCAACTTTTGACTGCCGCTTACTTTTTGATATTCTTTTAATTTCCATGCCACTTAATAAACGTTTTGTAAAAACAAGAGAATTAGAAACGGTTTTCCTTAAGCTCAAGCTCCTAGGAAACACCATGCGAATCCTTTTCAAGTTATTCCTTCAGCTGTTTGCTTGGTATTCAATTTCCCCACCCAGTTTTCCGGCTTTCCAACACGCTTTCTCAGTCAGTCCCCGGCAGACCGCACGCCCTTCTGTCTCATTTCATTCCGCTCTCTTGAGCCATTTGTTTGCTCCGCTTAATGCTCATATAATCAAATTGAATTGAATTGAATTGGATGTTTTTCCAACAAGGTCGCGGCTCCTTGGCAACCTGCTGGAAAACTCACTTAATGTAGTTTCCTTTTTGCGAGGGTGTGTCTGGTCTAGATGGGAAATTCACTCGTAAGGGTAATAGAGACAATACAAAAAAATAGCAAAAAAAAATTAACAAAGTGTGGCACTTGTTGAGCAGCAAAACACACACACACACAAGTACAGTGGCTAGTGGCATTGAACAGATATTGGATTAAATTTCTTCAGAATAACTTCTTTATTGAAGAGTTTCTAAGCTTTGATTAAAATTCAAAGAAAGTTACTTTGTAAAAATTACAAAAATATCTAAAAATGAGTTATCTTGCTTAGCGACTGATTACTGTATGTCTCTTTGTTCTTATCCCAGTTCAGTTCATGATGCATTTGGTTTATTTTTGTCCAGCTGGGAAGCCGTAGGATGCTGCCTGCAAATTAAGTGGACTTTGTGCCTCCTTCGACCCTTTCCCCATTTCCACGACGATTGTCTGTTTGTTAATTGCAACGAAAGTCTCGTGACTTGACTTAGTCAGCAATTGTTTATTGGTTAATTTAATACAATTTTCTGCTCTCTAGATTAGTTAATGATCGTCGACGCTCGTCTGTTGTTTTTATTGTTGTTTTGTTAGTCTGGCTACAGGTTGTTTTTTTGTTTTGAATTTGTTGATTTTTTCATTTTAGTATGCAAAGCTCGGCTGCGACAACGACTTGAATAATTTTAACTTAGTTAATCAATTTAATTATGTATGAAAATCGTTTCATTTGCTGTTGTTTTTGTTGTTGTTGTTGTTGCTGATGCGACACTATTATAGTTTGCTCGCATTCCGCTTTGCCCTTTAAATTCGTTGTTTGTCTGGCTTTTAAAACTACAAAAATGTCTCAAACTCACCTATAAGCTCATTTTCCGCTCTTTTTCGCCCCTCAATTTTCACTGATTTTGTGTTAACTTTATTTTACCTGTTTTTCTCTATTTTTTGTCATCTAGTTCTCTTTAGCTTTCACCAACAAAAATTTTCAATGGCAATCACTTTTGAAGTTGATTTCTTGTTTGTCTCATTTTGTTTTCCATTTTGTTTTTGTTTTGATGTCCGATAGCTGAAAAGTTCAAGGGTTTTTCTATTTACTCAGTTGTTTGCAGCTTATTAACTAACTTAATTTTAAATACTAATAGAAGGATTAGCAATGCCAATTCGCTTGCTAAATATTTGAATCTCGTTTTTGCGGTTCTGGAATGTTTTTTTCTTCTTCTAGTTTTCTAGACTTTTATATGGATTTAATACGATTTTCTATTATTAAAATGTATATCTTGTTAAAGGGTAACTCGTAGTCATTAGGATTCCACATTTGCTTAAAATTCTTTGCGAGCCCACCTCAATTATTTTGTTATTGCGACGCCACCAGACACGCAAATATATAAACATATATATATATGTAGATATATGATTGGGAGGGGAAATATTTGATATATATATATATATAGGTGGGAGCAGGTGGAGCAAGTTCATCATTGTCCCGATGTCGATGCATCATTCAAATAAACTTTTCGTTCAAAACAAAATGATTAAATTTGTTATTAGCTTCTCTTTTTTTTGGGCGCTTCTCGAGAGCATCACGTTTTGTTGATTGATATTATTAAAGAAATGGTGTGCTGAGTAAGCAAAGCAGGAAGTAAAAACGGGCAATACTTAAATGTTAGAATTGCATAATAAAAAATACTTATACTTTTAGAATTTTATATACACTTTTGCTTATTATTGTTTAATTATAAAATGTCTTAAGTTCACATTAGGAAAAACCTGAAAACTTTCATAAAGGAAACTAAACTGAAACTAAAACAAAAACCCAAAATTATTAATAACCAAAAATGAACTTTAAAAGACCTTAAATCTCGCCAACCTTTTTTTCTTTCACCTCCTACCACCTGTATTTCTTTGGTTTGCTTTTTATGAAACCCCTTTAAAAGAAAAATCGAAATAAAGATATTGTAATGCCAGCCAGTCGGCCGATAAGTCCGCTCCGAAATTTATATATGCCCCCATTAAATGAGTTTTTGGCAAGTTTTGACGATTTTTGGGGCTTTCTGTTTGCATTTGTGTGTTGGTTTGTGTGCTGTTGTTGTTGTTGTTGTTGTTGTTGGTTCATTAAAGCCAAAAGGCGACAAACAGGAGACAATAAAATGCAATCAGAGCGTTTATGAGGGGCATTATTTAGTCGATCCAAAGCCAATCGAAATCAGTGAGACCGTATTATGGTGTCCGGATATTGATTGAAATTACCAACGAATGAGTCAGGACTCTCTATCTCTCTTTCTCTGTCTCTCAACCAACTATATTTCACAATTAATTCTCAGTAAATAATGTAAAATATTTAAACAAACGAGTGGCCGTGAGAACAATAATGATTGGCCCAATTCACGGAATATATGTGTGCAATATACGAGTGCTTTGAATTATATTATTTTGCATTCTGCATTTATAATTGGACGCTGGGGATGAGGGGAAAATTTCCTTATTTTCAAATGGGGAATCACAACGAACATAAGTCCCGTTTGGTTTTTCTATGCTTGAAGTTGAAGTTGCCATGAGTAACCATAGATTCTGACAAGTCTTTACAAGAAAGAGTTATTTATTAACGAAATTTTATAGGATTTTCTTTGCATAACACATACATTTTTAGTATAAGGATCAAAACTGTAATTTGTAACTTTCTTCCTAACAAGATTTTCAATACACATTTCTCATTCATTCATTCATTGATTCGCTTGGATTGGATAACCAACTATTTCATGATCATTCATCTTAAATTCTCCGCTCTATTGTTGTCATTTGATATGGCATTAAATTCCATTACGTTGCTAGATTATTCCACTGCAACAACTGCCTCGATGCAGCAACAAAAAAATATAGAAAAAAAACGCGAGTCAACAATTGTCTAAGGTCAAAACGCAATGCTTTTTTTTTTAAAGCGTTTCTTGGAAAATTGATCTAGACCAGAAGCCGGCTTTCCGTTGTTTTCCATAGCCTTTCCCCCGCCTTTTTGCACCCCTCAATTGCCTGGCTAATACAGAGTACTCTCAATTGGCTTTAATGTTCACTGGGAAAAATTATATTAACTTAAGAATTAGTAAGAAAAATTGCGATTTTAAAATCATAATACTTTTTGACTGGTTAGAAAAATATGTAAATTTGTTAATGACTCAAACAATATAATATTTTATCAATATATAACCTTTAAATCAACTTTTTTAAATGTCAAATTATAATATTTAGAAAAATATAATTAGAAATTTCAAACCCCTGTACCCTTTACCCCAAAAGGACTTAG